GCTGAAGATCCTGCTTCGTGAGATGTCCTCTGCCTACCCGAGGCCTGGAAACCGCCTGGTGGAATTAATTATCAAGATAGTCCAGACACTCCCCGAGGCCTGGATAGGCGGAAGCTGGAAAAATACCACTGCCCTTGCCACGAATGTCTGGCTCTATGGAGCCAGGCAGCTGGAAAGGGAAGGGGAGATGAGATGGCAGATTCTGGAGACATGTCTTCTCAGGATTTGGCTGCAAGCTTGTCTGGCCACTGTTTTTTGGTAAGGCTTTTTTGTTGGAAATGGATTGAAATGAAGAGCTGATAAAAAGTTGATGAGATCTGAGGCCCAGGATTTTCTCTAAGTTTCGTAAGAACCTGAAAGTGCCCTGACCTTTAGATCCAATTGATGTCACAGGAGAGCAGGGCGCTGGGCGTAGCAATAGGCCAGCCAAGAGGGGTTTAGGGGTCTTCTGAATCTCAGAAATGCCAGAGGGAGGTTTTCTCGCACGAGATTTTAGATTCCAGGATCTCTGGAAATGAGCAAACTCAGTCCCTTTAGATCCCCGGAACGGCGTGGAGGATGAGCTAAACCACCCCACATCCCATCCTGATTTTGAGGGCCATCTGTAGCCCTGCTTCCCCTGGTTTCACTCCTGCATCTGTGTTCTGGATTTTTAAGAACAATAAATAGAACAGACAGAATGAGGAAAGTAACAGGTCAACAGATTCTAGGCCTTGTGTCAGGAAATGCCTGCATGAGGAAGTCAGACCCCAAAGTCTCTCCCCACCTCCAGGAAATCAGAAACGAAAAGAGGGAAGAAAACGATCCAAGGAGCAACAGGAGGAAATGAAGGAGACCAGAAGATATCAGCTGCGATTATGACCAACAATAAAACCCCTAAGGTGTTATTCTGTATTACAAAAGAAGAAATTAGACTCAATGGCCCAATTATAAATTTGCTAAAAATACATATATATATATATTTTATCCGAACAGAAAAATAGACTACTCTGAGATGCGTGGACATCCTATGATGTAGTCACGCATCAGATACTTCTAGAGCCAGAAAAATGGCAACAGAAAATGCAGAGGTAACTCTTATTTCTGGGTGTAGCCAGGGCTGGTTTGAGTCGCCCGGGGTTGAGTGAAAGCATTTGGATGCTGTCATATAAGCAGTGGGAGGCGAGGAAATTTTAGCTCAGGGCTGCAGGTTCTCCACTGTCCTGCTGGGGGAGTCAGGGGAAGCCCCCTTTTAACGCCTGTCAACTTCGCAGCAGTAGAAAAAGTCCTTTCTCAAAGGATCACATGCTAGAGGCTTCTCACCACATTGGATTCAAAGTTACTTGACTGGAGGCTGAAGCCCGGGGTCAGGTTACTTGAGACTAGTTGGCAGAGAAATGAGGAAAGGAGAGAGAGAGAGAGAGACACCTGGCATTAGTGACCCTTGTCCGTGGTGAATTTTAAATTTCCCCCTGCCCATGGACTATACACTCCAGCCATAACTTGGAGCAAGACAGAAATATACAACAGTTACAAACATCAACAATACATTACAGTTTTACAGAAGAGAATACGGTTCTGTTTTTTCTCCTTAGAAACGTGGATCTTATTCAGAGAAAGGGCAGGGGTGAGGCTTACAGTTACTAAGACACGGCGGAGGAGGTCAGGAATCAGTCTGAAAAAGTTTGTATCACCAGCAATTCAAAGGGGCAAGCCAGGTGGGTTGAAAGGAAATGGCCTCCTCAGGATTTTGCCGGTTCCCCATCGTCATCGTCTTCCTTTCTTGATCCCCAGTGCTTTTGGAGAAAGGGGCTTCACGGGAATGAATGTTCTTTCCTCTTTTTTCTTTCCCCATTAAGTGTGCTTAAGGTAAAATTCCTAAAGAAGGCACTGAGAAATCTACTGCACCGAAGTCCTATTGCTTGCTTCTTTACCCCAAGATAAAAAGGTGAATAAACGGACTCCTCCAGAGCTTTCCCACCTCTCTCTGCTGGTCGTGGACAGTCCCCTGTGGGATCAGGACACAGAGCTACCTGGTCCCTAGCCCTTTTTGATAATGGTGTGAGTTTGGTGGGGTTCTTGATGAGTTTTACTGAATTTGCCAAAGGGACCAGGCATCCATTCACCTCCAGTCCCTAGATTCATTTCTTTGGGATGACTCGTTTTTTGTCCCCACTTTCGTTGGTTTAGGAATGGGTGGTACATGGACCATCAAGTTAAAGCAGCATATTTGCCTCCAAACCATTGCTTTCCTCTCCTCCATCAACACCCGTCTATCAAGGTTAGCTTCTCACTGGAGACTCAGGTAGATATCCCAGTGCACGTACACAGGTACAGGTAGGGTGTACACATATTAAAAATCTGGGTATGTGTCTTTTTGGCAGGTGGGGGTCTGGGAGAACTTACAATACTCTATTTTGAATCGGCACAGGGTAAAAGCTATATTCCTACAATACAGCCACAAGTAAAAGGAAAACCCAAAACAGAACGCAATACTTTCTAAGCATAGTATATGCTGAGTTTCAGTTATTCTGTTTCTATAAGAACTCTATAGGACTCTGGCTATTAAGCCTGAAAAGGTAGGTTCTTAATGATACTTCTGAATTCATCCTTCAAAAGTGACTCAATAAAATGCTACTTTAAGTTCAGACAAAATACATGAGGAAGGAAGGGGTAGGTCCTGCATGACCACACAAGGCAGAAAGGGCCTTTGGTTAGACAAGGAGAGTTGCACCAATTGGTTATTAGTTTAAAAAAAAAGAAAGAAAGAAATCATTTCTAATCTGTACACTTCTCGTCTGCTTCAACCAGCAAATGAAATGCCTCGATTTGAAGAAGGGGTGGTAAGTTCCTTCTCGCTATATATGGCTATATTTAAACACGTTCACTTTCCTGATATGTAAAATAGACTATATTATAATTATTAATTTTTACAGATAGCATCAGCTCTAAAAAATCTGAATCGGAAATCACAACTATTTACTTTTATCAAAAAGCATTTGTTTGTTTTCCCTGAATTTTCACATTTGTGCTGATGGCGGATGTAAATGATGATGGAAACAAAGAGACGTGAGATGGCCCAGGGAGGACTGTTCTGCGGCCTTTCCTCCACAGGCCCCCAGCTTGTACTGTATGCTCAGTAAAGCACCTTGGGAGCTTCCTCTCTCTGGTGTGCCACCAGCACAGGCTGACCTCATACTCCCTGGCCCTTAAATCCCTTTGCATTTGCTGCGAGAGTACTCCGAAGGTACTTCCAGAGTCAAGATACTTTGTTAATGCAGCAAAAAACAGGACTGCACCCTCGTGGAGGGATCTACAATCCTTGGAGATGCTGACAAGCAGTATGAACCGGGTGCATACGCAGCAGAGAACACGCGTTTTTAAGGGCAGTGGAATGATCCCACGTCATCATACCTGTGACAGGTTGCCCAACCTCATGCCACTGTGCAGAGCGCAGGCAGAATGACGCCATGATGTCTGTGCACTGACAGGTGGATTGTGCCATTGTACTAACAGGCAGACCAACAACATATTCTATGAAGGACAGGGAAACCATGTTTTGTTCCATCAGGAAGACACATGCCTGGCACTGTATTGAGGATTGGCAGATCTACACTATCGTACTTGGGACACCATCCTTCAAAATTGTATTAGGAGAACAACATCGGTTCATTGTACTAAAGACAAGCAGATCAATAATGTGTCATCTTTACTGACACATGGGCCAACAGCTTGGCATCCTGCTAACCAGCGGCTCCACTCAGTGTTACTGCCCTGAGGAACAGCCAACACCAACATGCTGTTGGACTAAAATCAGGCAGGCCAATGCCAGGTCATCAAACTAAGACAGGAAGACCAACACCAAGAGATAGACCAGAACCGCTCACAATGCACACAAATACTTATTGCTTTTGTCGGTACTGGCTGCATTGATGGCTGCAGAAAGGAGAGCTGAGCTGTTAGTACAGACGACACTGAAAACACACCAACACCTGGTTGACAAGAGAGAGAACAGAGTAAAACACCCAATGCCCAACCATCGGCTTCATTCTTCTGAGATGTTCCTGTTTCCTGTACACATGACTTTATAAGAGGCCCCATGCAGGGGCCAAGTACCCTTCCTGATGCAAGAGGGTTAAGGGGAAGCTTCAGGGGGACAGGAAAGAAGCCCACAGACTTTGACACAGCAGACAGCAATACCAGCACAGTATCACTCACCGTGGCCAGACACATGCCCGGAGCAAAAAACCCAACTGTAGTCCCAACAAGTGGCCCACGGGAAATCATGCTTGTTTTAAAGTGCAAGATGTTGACACTGTCCCTGGTAGAACCTATTTTTGAAAAACATAAAGTGCTTTTTATTTTAACTTTTTTTTTTTTTTCAAACTTGAATATCACAGGAAACAAAAAAGAATTTCTATTATAGTAAATGCTTTCCCTGCCCCAGCAGGAAGTATTCAAAAGTCTGAATTGGGCATTTCAATTTTTTTTTTTTTTTTTTCCTTTCGTTTTTTTCAGGTAAAAAAAAAAAAATCAGATTTGATTCTGTTCTTCGGTAACATACAGTCTCTTTGAATAAGCTATTCTTCTGCATATTTGACACTTGCATATCTTTTGAGTCTACACTAGCGATGTACAGAAAGCACTTTCCTTCTATATCCCTAAAGCAATGCTCAGAGTTCATACTGTTGGCTGAGTGCCCTCCTTCTGAACCCTTTCCGGATTGCCAGGGGGCAATTAGAATTGAGTACAAGTGGTGCAACTCACCCTGATGAAATCTCCAAATAAAATCTCAGGTACTACGGAATACTGAAGTCAATGAAGACATTTGAGGAAGGGGTTTTGCGCTGGGATCGTGGCTTATGGTGCAGTTTTCCCCATGACACAAGCATTCCCTGCAGCCTTCTAACAGTGGGATCCATCCAGCAGGTGATGGACAGAAGTTCCTAGAGGTGGCCAGGCAACACCCAAAACCAAATTGGTCAACCCGCTCTCTTAACACCGGCCACTTGTTCCGACACCCTTCTCCAGCTGCAGCCAGGAGGGGTGGCGATCTCGCCCTCGGAGGCTGTGATGGAAAAGCCACGAGAGAAGAATGGGGAGTAGGTGGCCTTGGTTATGTCTAGAACGTGGTAGTGGTGGCTGTGAGTTCTGCTCTTGTCATCTTCCAAAGAGGGCCATGGAGCTGTTACAAGGAGGCGCCATACCCTGTGGCTTGGCCAACTTCACTCTGATGGACCCGTTAACGGCTCTCAAGGTTTTAAGGGAGATTTCTCTGGTCTCTCTTCTTTCTGGGGGCTTTACAAAGCCTTTCTGTTTCAGAGGTCATGCAGAAAAGCTCCACGCCAGGTAAGCTGAACAGCACTCCTCTTTGGACCCTGCCACAAGTCTCTCCTCCTTGTGGAGGCGGTTCAGATGCTCTGATCCCGTGTGCTTCCATGGGCTCCTCCCCCCGGCAACACGCGGACATCGGGGGAGATGTGGTTCTCAAGCTTGCACTTTTCCTGACCACTGGGAGTTTTTCCAGTCAATGCTTCTGTAGAGTAAATACAGTTCTGCCTTAAGAACTTAGGGGAGGTGGGTAAGGGGGAGCTTTCAAAGTGGTTCTTCTCTGATCTTGTCCCGACAGTGAACTTGGGACTAGTGTTCCCATGGAGGCTCTTGGGGGGGCTGGAGTCCACACTGTAGAGCACTTGCCCCTCATCATCCGTGTCCGCATCAATGTACTGGTGGATACCTGCTTCAAAGTTGAACGCTATTGCTGTGTGTTTCTCTGGCGACCGGGGGGGTGTCCTAGCACTTGCTGTGGTGTAGATGGAGGACTCTGGACTCAGCACAGTCCTGTCCAAGAGTGTGGCACACTCCAGCCCAGCAACAGCTGCCGCAGCACCCCCCCGGTTCCTAAGAGGGTCATGGTACATCCCCAGAACGGGGACTAATGGTCTGGGATCCCCCTCCATGAAGTTGACCTTAAGCGCTCGAAGCTTCAAGGGGTTGGTGGTCTTCATGGAACTCTTGGGGCTCTCAATGAAGAAAGCAGAGGGATGGCTGGCATCAGGGGCGGGGTTGGCCTCCACAAACCTACCACCAGTGGCACCCAGAGCTCCCTGCCAGCCAACCTCTGGGGCCATGCCACCTCCGGTTTTGCTGGGGAGTGATGCCAAAGGGCTGTGGGAGAATCTGGTGGCTTCAGGGAAGTCTGTGGCACAGCTAATGAAGCTATCGATGCTTGACATGCTTCGCATGTCAATGACCCCTTCTGTACGAGTGGGCAGAGGGGCTACGGGGCTGGGGATACTCTCCATTTCAAGTTCTTCCTTTGGTTTGCTCTGTGTTGCTGGCTCCTTAGTATTGAGGATGGGTTGAGATTGTGTCTTGGCCATCTTATTGTACATGTCTTCCAACTGCTGGACGTTCAGGTGCTGAGGACTAGAAGATGATCTGGCCTTCTCAGGGGATCCCTGCTCCTTGGTTTCAAAGGACTTACTTGAGCTGGTTTCGGACAGTGTCCTCTTTGTCCATTTCCATTTGTTGGGAGACAAGTGATTATCTTGCACTTTGTCTTTCTGACCCATGTTCTCTCCACTTTTCTCAACCACAATGTCCATCACCTCGATGCTCCGGGGGAATGCATCCTTCATGTTCATGGATACGATGCTGCCATTTCTCTTGGCTCTCTCCAGAGCCTCTCTCCGCTTGATTGCTTTCTCCTGCCTCTTCTGCTCCTTGTAGAACTCAGAGAAGTTATTGACAATGATGGGGATGGGAAGAGCAATCACCAGGACCCCTGCAATGCAGCAAAGACCCCCCACAATCTTCCCCAGGAGAGTCTTGGGGTAGATGTCTCCATACCCAACGGTCGTCATGGTGATGGTGGCCCACCAGAAGGAGGCTGGGATGCTTTTGAACTTGGTGTCATCCTCATCCTTCTCGGCAAAGAAGACAAGGCTGGAGAAGATCATGATGCCCATGGCAAGGAAGAGGATGAGCAAGCCCAGCTCGTTGTAGCTCCTCCGCAGAGTGAAGCCCAAGGACTGGAGGCCAGTGGAGTGACGTGCGAGCTTAAGAATGCGGAGAATACGCATGATGCGGAAGATCTGGACCACGCGGCGGACATTCTGGAACTGCAGCACGCTCTTGTTGGATTCAGTGAGGAAGATGGTGACATAATATGGCAGGATGGCCAACAAGTCAATGGCGTTGAGCGGGCCCTTGAAGAACTTCCACTTTTTAGGGGAGGAGAGGAACCGCAGCAGGTACTCCATGGTGAACCATGCGATGCACACAGCCTCCACGTGGGCCAGCTGGGGGTTGTCGGTGGTCTGGCCGAACTCGTCAAGGCTCTGCAGCTCGGGCAGTGTGTTGAGAGACAGGGCAATGGTGGAGAGGACGATGAACATGATGGAAATTATGGCGAGGATCTGTGAGGAGAAGAGAGCGGGATTTAGTTATCAACCACCAGTGGGATGGTCATCCTAATACTCTGGGTCTGCAGGACATTCCTCAACATTCAAGAGCATTTTCGTAGCTCACTAATTACCTAATGACTGGATGTTTGAGCTAAAAAGATTATTTATTCAAATCCATTTATCATACAGACGTGGAGACTGAGGCCCAGAGAATTGGAATGATTTAAAGCTAATCATCAAGCCCAGGGGTCAGTCAATTTTTTCTACAAAGGGCCAGATAGTAAATCTTTTAGACTTTGAAGCCCGTGCATTCTTTGTTGCAACCACTTAACTCTGCAGTTACAGCATGAAAACAGCCTTAGATAATACATAAATGAATGAGCATAGCTGTTTCAATAAAACTTTATTTACAAAAACAGGAAGTGGGCTGAATTTGACCTGCAAGCCATAGTTGGCCGTCTCGTGATCCAGACCAGTGGTTCATAACTATCATGGGGTGGGGTACCGCTTTCCCGACATTATACTAATGATAATATCAATAGTTACCCTTTATCGAGCGTTCATGGTATTCGAGGCACGATGCTTGTCACTTTCCATGCAATTCCTTATTTCATTCTTACAACAACCTCATTAAGTTGTACTTCCAATGAAAAGATGAGGAAACCTAGGCTTCCGAAGCTAGTAAGTTGCAGAGCCAGTACTTTAACCTGGGTCTGTCTGACCCCAATACGTGAGCTCTTAAAAATGTGTTAGAAATGAGTTGAAAGCTATAGACCTTTCTGCTAAATGCTCAAGGTTTTGCAGATGATTTTCAGGGAGGCCTAGACATCCTAGTCTCATGTTATTAACTCCTGAGTGTGACTATGAATTTTTGAGGCTAAGGATCACAGCTTAACTACCTTTGAGTCCCCTGGATCAAGAAGAGGGTTTGCTCCAGATGTTTGGGCTCCCTGGATGTTTGTTGAATTTAATGGAGCCTAGGCTAGTCTACAGCTTATGCAGAAATGCAAGCAGATGTAATAAATTGTTCTAGGGTCTTTTTCTCAAAAATACAAATCCAGTCACATCACTCTCCTGCTCAATAAATTTCCAGGACTCTTCAGGTAAAAATCTAGACTCCTAAGCTTATCTATCAGCCCTCCTCCCCACCCCCCAAAAGCTGTCCTCTTCTCATAGGCTTGTGCCTCCCTTTCTGCTGCCCCCGCTAAAGAGCAGCGGGTGGGGATGGGGTCTCCATGCTTGTATAATTTGATCCTGGCTGCCGCTGAGTGGCCCAGAGATGGACAGAAAACCCAGGCTGGGCTGAACCAGTCCACCATGGAAGATTTGAGTTCAGGGATCCAGGAGTGAGTGGGTTATGGGGGTGGTGAGCCTCGGAATTAAATGGTCAAGTACAGTCCAGGCCTGAGCCAGCTTCATGATAAGCCCAAGCTTCAAGCAACTTTTCACTCACGTTGTAGAGGATCAGAAAAACCATAAGAAAATCAGAGAAAGTTGAACCTTTTAGAGAAGCCAGAGATTAAAGGGGAGAGGCAGAGAGAAGAAGCAGAGAGGACATAGGAGATCTGAAAAGGGTGTAGAGGGCCACAGTCAAATGCTTGGGCTCTGGTGTCAGGCTGTTTTGGATTCAAGTCTCAGTGCTTCCACTTCCTTACCTTTAGTCAGGCATTTAACTTCTCTAAGCCTCAGTTTCTTCATCTGCAAAATGGGATGATGATGACAATATCTACCTCAGAGAGCGGCTGTGAAGATTAAATGTGTTAACACATGCAAAGCACTCAGGACAGGTTCCAGCAGCACCTAGTGAATGTCTAATAAATGTTAGCTGTCATCACAGGGGAAATAGCTCAGCCCACACCCTGTCAGCCCAGAACACCCAGCTTCCGAGGGGCCAGCTAGTCTTTGCTTCTCGCCCTTGTTCTGAAACTGCCTGCCATATCCTGAAAGTAAATGCCGCTGCTGCTTGGGTGAGCATAAGAGGGTTGCTCTTAAATCCCCAATCAGGACACATGGCTGTCGAGTCTCTCTGAGTTTGACTCTGACCCCTCTCTTTGGCCTCTCTTGCCACAGGTTCCCAAACTTCACGCTTCCCTAATCACACACTATTGTTGGTCAGTTCTGCAGGTCTGTGCCTCTTCCTCTCTGTCCAGTGAATTCCAATCCATCTTTTAAAACCCAGCCCACATGGCCCCTCCCTGCAGAGGTCATCCCTGGAGGGGCCAGCCACTCCATTCTCTGGGCTCCCTCGTCATTTTGCCAGCCTTGGGGTTCTTAGCACACTACAGCCTATTACAGGTGTGTGTGTGTGTGTGTGTGTGTGTGTGTGTGTGTGTGTGTATGTGTCCATCATTGCCCAGAATCTGTAAGCTTTGGGGGGACAGGGATGGATTCTGAGATTCACCTCTGCACCCACAGCGCCTAGGGCAACAGGTTTTCATGGTGTTTCTTGGCTGTGGCTCAAGTTCACGGCCATTTATGGGTCCCGTGGCCTTGGGCACTGCAACTTTCCTTGCCTCAGTTTCCTTGTTTGTAAAATGGGGATCCTCCAGTAGTTCTTAACTGGGGATGATTTTGACCCCTCCCCCTTCCCTTGGGGACTTTTGGCAATCCTGCAGACATTTTTTGTTGTCACGATTTGGAGGAGGGGTGATACTGGCAGCTGGTGGGTGGAGCCAGGGATGCTGTTAAATACAATGCACAGGACAGTCCCCACCAAGGAGAATGATCAGGCCCCAAATGTTAATAGTACCAACGTTGAGAAACTCTGGGATATACCAGTAGTCAGCCCCTCAGGAGCTGTAGAATGAGGGAAAAGATGGTTAGCACAGAGCTACGCACAGAGTGGGTCTGACCTTACAGAGCAGCCAGCTGGGACCTCGGGCTGAGCCCCTGCAGTGGAGCTGCTACAGTTTCTGACTCCTGGCCCTGAGGGCAGCTGCAGGAGAATGGAGCAGATTCCTGGGGCGTCTGTTCCTTTAAGAGCTGGGAGATCTCATTTCCCCCAGAGGCTGGCAGGGGAAGCCTGCTCCAGTTTCTAACCCCCAGACAACTCCAGGGAAGGCCCACATAATTGATGTCTGCTGACAGATGCATGAATTATGCACCCACCTATTGTACAGTCCTTAGCACTGTTATTCTAAGGCGGGCACCCCCTCTTTGTACCCCAGAAAGTGCTCTCCCCTCCTGTCCTCTCAGCCTGAGGATGCTTAGGAAAGAAGAAAATGAAGGCAGAGGCCTCACAGCAACCTGGAAGGGGGTGTCCGCTGCTCAGGGTTGGGTTGTGAGGGTCAGAGGGTGCCAGGCCTCCTGCCCTGGCATATGCACTCATCAAATAGCACTTGTGCTAATGCAGTGTGACCCACCCTTCCTAGCCCTGACCACAAGACTGCTTTCTCTTCCAGACCTGCTGAAGCCCTTAGGGTCAGGGTTACACCTCCTGACTGGGGAGCTCCTGAACATGAGTTAAACCCTCTGTGCCTCAGTCTCCTCATCTGTAAGATGGGGGTGGGTCACTGCAAGGGGGCAAAGAGAATTCAATGTATCCATAAGGCCCTTAGATCAACTTTTATTGCTTTTATTATTTCACAACATTATATTTATTTATAAGCCGGTTGGACTTGGCTCTGAGCAGTAGTGTTATTATTCCCACCTGGCTGAGTGGCCTTGGACAAGTCACTTCCTCTCTCTGAGACTCCATTTCTTTATCTCTAAAATGGAGATGAAAGTAATTGAGCACCCACCACATAACAGCCACTTAATATATATTTTATGTTATTAAATTATTATTTGGATAATTTATTGTCACCCTTACCTCCAGCCTCTGGACTGGTTGCTTCTGGAGGTCCAGGACTAGGTCTGTGGACCCCAGTGCCTGGCTAAGGCAGCAGACATCCTCTAAACAGTCTTGAACCCAAATGAACAGTGTTGATTTGGTCTCTGGGATGGGCTGCAGGGATGGGGGACCAGCCAGGCCAGCAATGAGTCCTCCCGGCCCCAGCTCAAACCCCTGGCCAAGTCCCTGCATTTTCAGCCTTGCTTCCCTGGATCTGAGCCCAATCGGGTTTGGGCAGGACTCCAGGAACCCAGGGAGCAGAGGCAGGAAACAGGACCAGGACTCAGAGGCTGTCCCCAAATTCCCTCCCTGCAATGAGGTTCTGAATTCTGCAGCCTACTTGTCGGCACCAAGCGTGGGAGGGGGCTTTGGTCCTCTGAGAGAAGAGATTAGCAGGTAGGGGTACCCAGGGGGGAATCAAGGGTTCTGGAGCCAGGCCTTTCTCATTCTAAAAAAAATTGTTGGCTCTGGGGGTTAATCACAGGATGCCTACCTTTGGCTCCAGCAATAAACAGGCTGTTTATCATTTGCTCTGACCACTTCCCTGCTCTTCCATGAATATGGACAAGGCACAGAACGTCTGTGCAGAAAACGGTCCAGGCTCCTTTCTGGAAGGATGGGGAGACTCAAGCAGAAAAGGGAAGGGACTAGTCTATGGTCACACAGCCCATTGGGGTCAAGTCTGTGCAACAACACTAGAAGCTCTGGCCAGCAGAGAGCTGCACCTAGTGTTCAGGTCCTGCAAACTGTTTTCATACACATCCATCTTCCCAGCAGCATTATTTGTAAGAGGCAAAAAGTGAGATCAACCTGAATGTCCATCAACTGATGGATATACAAACTGTGGTCTATCTATACAATGGAATATTATTCAGCCATAAAAAGGAATGAAATACTAATACATGATACGATATGGATGAATCTTGAAAACATTACGCTGAGTGGAAGAAGCCAGACACAAAAAGCCACATAGTGTATGATTCCATTTATATGAAATGACCAGATAAGACACACCTATAGAGACAGAAGGCAGGTTAGTTGTTGCCAGGGTGGGGACAGGAATTAACAGTGAATCGGCATGAAGGATCTCATGGGGATGATGAAAATGTTATAAAATTGATTTAGGGTGATGGTTGTACAACTTGGCAAATTTACTGAAAAATCATTGAATTGCTCACTG